CCTTTGCAATATCCAGCCTTCTTCAGCGATTTCTTACATCGTTTCCACCAACACTTAATATAAAAATAAAATCATAATAGAATTTCGGCCTGCTTCTAAGACACATCGAAAAGCCAGTCCTTGAGCAAAATTTGGCGCCGCGTATCCTTCACTGACCTACTCAAACACTTTGTAAGAACAGCTCTTAAACTTTCCTTAGGAAAGTATCCTTGTAGTCTTCCTTCCTCAATTCAACTTTCCAGAATGAAATATCCATAATTTTGTTCTTAGGTTTTCTTAGGTTTTTCTTAGGTTTTCTTGGGTTGGGAAATAAAACTTTTCTAAACAAATTAAACCCGTTTTAAAATCGTCAAAAGTTGATCCTTAAGTAAGTAAGGCCTATGCTAGTGTAGAAGAAAGGGTCATAAGAATTAAAATGGAGAGACCCCAAGCAATTCATCTCGATTAGAGGATATTTTCATTTCAACTTACCTGTAGACACTTTTATTGGACTGTGAACTGTGGTTGAAGATGCGTGATCTGACAATGTGAAATAAACAACAGTTGCATGTAAATGTTGACCCATATTCTAAATGTTCAGTCTGTGGCAATAATTCATTCACAGGAACGAATACAAATTGACAGTCCGTTCAGTATCAATGCTCAGATCATCTCGCACTCACTTGAATGTATCTACAGATATGGAAATACTGATACAAAGAAATTAGGAGACTCTACAGTGATCAGTTGTACGTTTTTCAATTAATAGAACAGTGCGTATGGAACGATACTTTGATTGCTTTGTTTTCCTTATTCTTTTACCGCTCAAGTGCGGACAAGAGAGCTCGATCGAGATCTGTCTGGGAAATCATTCTTTAACAACGGATGATGAGTCTCACCTGGAACACAGCTTACGTTTTTCCAGCAGAGTGTCTCGTTGTAGTGATCTTGACAAGTTTGGTTGTATGGGCAGTAGGTCTGATTTTGTTCTGTGCAGTTACATCCTGTTAAATTATTGACTTTTACAACACACTTCTCCAAACTGCAATAGAACTAATAAAAAAAGAATATTGTTTGGCAGAAGGTATTTCTTTAATTTTCAGCACGACATCAACTAGAAAATCTTTCTGAAGTTAGAGGAGGGTTGACGGCTGGCGGCTTAAAAACATGGCTCTCGGACCATCAGCTTCATTCAGCTATTTCATGCTTGTCGATATCAATACCCTAACTTGACGGAAGAGCGAGAAACTGCAGCAATATATCCATTAATAGGAGTACCGAAGCTTATGTTTACTTTTTGCGTATGGATGAATTGGAAAATGTTCAGCAAATATTCTTGACTTAATTCATCGGCGACAGTTTGCAATTTAGATTTTCCATTTTGGATGATTGAAAGTTTACCCAATGAAGACCCAGTTACATAAACATCTTACATGCCGATCAAGACATCCAGGTTTTAATCTTTATCTTTCGCTGAACAATCTTTCTTAAAAATTGTAAAATCAATTCTATATCACAGAAGCATTCAAAGAAGTTGTTGGCTTAGCAAAGATCCAAGTCAGTAATTGGAAAAGTTTCGTTTTTGGCTTGTGATATATTTTAGGCCCGAGCTCTCTCAGTGAGGACATCATATCCCGAAACTAAGGAGTGAGTGAGTGAGAGAGCGGGAAATGGGAGCAAGATGTTTGCTTGGGTGTTTTAATTTAAACGGGAATTGGAAACCTTTGTGGACATTTGGTTAATTGTCTCAAGGAAATCATAACAGACTTTGTGGCGTTAAGCGCACAATATCGATAATCTGGAATATTCAAGAAATCACCACAGTTTTGAAATAGGCAACTACATTAATTCGTAAGTCATTCAAATAGAACATACAAACTTTTCAGCCAAAATTATTGATTTCAGTGTTTCGTTGTCAAATTATAAATAATATGCTGTTGCTTGGAAACCAAGGTAAAACAAATATGACTTCCATGAGGCGTAAATAATATTCCCTTCTCCGAATAAAATTCCTAACAAAGAAGTTAATAATCAAAATTATCAGAAAAGAAAATGAGCTAAATCATCTTGAAGCGCTTTCTACATTCATCACCTAAGTAGGTATAATTTTAATAAACAACATTTTCACGTGAATCAACCAGCATTCGAAAAATTACGGTTACTTTTCAGTTAGTGTTATTTCATGGAAAATAAGGAATTCTCTCCCGTTCTTCCCCCGTGAGCTGAAAAGCATAATTTCAAATTTCTATTTTTGGATGTCGCAAAAATTCCGTTTTGCATTAATTAAACATAAAAGACATATCGATGACGTGTGTTTATAATTCAATGATGCTTTTAAAACCAGGAGGCTAACAAATGCAGAGAACCTTGAAAAACTTTCCCTACCCGTGTCAAACCTAAATTATTTTTCAACAACTGTTGTGCTCTACCAAGAGTAAATAATGTCCTACTATTTTCTCTTGGTTCTCCTAAAAATGATGCAGCATAACAAGAACAAATGTTATTTATATTCCATTTTGTCGTGTTAAAAAATTTCCACGCGAGATCCACTTACAAAAAACAACGTACACTACCTTACTAGCTGAACAAAGCTTATAATATATTTCTATATTCATCTAGAATGCTTTACCTGTTGTTGGCTGTTAGCGGTGGAAATATCAACTGAAAAAAAATAGACCGGTATCAGTTCTGAAACATAAAGTGTAGAATGAGGTAAAATTTAAAATCACGATCGTCAGCAGCAATGTAAATGAAACCAAGTAAAATTTTCGGAGTCGGAATCTCGATGTAAAAATCTTACCAAGGGAACGAATTTTAAATGTTCTACAGTTAAGGGAATCGTCCGTGTTAAACATTTATCACTTTCAGCAGTACTGCAGAGTGACTATAACAACTGACTCTATAAGAGTTTACCTGATGTTATGGCTGCGATTAAGAGCGAAGAGCCGATCCCCATCACCAACATTTTGAGGAAGATCTTAATAGCATTTGCTAGGTTAGCTTTAAGCTCGAATGATATTTTTCAAGCGAGTGCTCTGAGAATTACTTGTCATCCCACTCATTCAATATTAATGATATTTTCCTAATAAAACCAAGTTACCAGAATTACCATGACACATGCCGTGCCAAAAGCTGTAAACAGGTTCAAACACTAACCCAAATAATGATCTCAAAATGCGAAAAGTTTTCATAAGTATTTGCAACTACCAAATCTTTATGGTTGTGTGATCAAGACTTGATAAAAGAAGAGATGTTTACTGTGGCTATTAGAACTTAGTGTTCTACGGGTCACATTTAGATAGTGGGTGGCCTCTTTCAATTTAAATTCATGTCGCGCACACCGTTTTGTATGACTCGGTGGTTTTTACGTGAGCATGACTTATGTTTTGATCTTTACACCACAATGACTTGGAACAGCCTTAAAGAGCAAAAACAATACAAAAATAACGAGCTTCAATTGTAATCTTGTGTTAAATGAGGATAACTGCGTCTTTTCCAGCATTACGGCCATTGTAGGTGGATTATCAGATGACTTTTATTATTACAAATGAATACTTCTTCTTTTTTGGGATTTTAGATATATTTTGAAAGCAACAAAGACTTCACCGCGGGAAAACCCTTCGTAATTATTTTCCACAGACAAGTTAAAACATCTTAATAGTGCTACATAGTTTTTCACATTAATTATTAATTGCAATGGCAATATGCAAAACACGCTTAAAAATTTAGGCATTAATTATGCGACAGTGAAACTTTCAGAGGTTTCCTTTTCGATATGAATTCTAACAAGTGATGAAATTAATTTCAAGTTTGTTTTCAGTGCATTTCATACATGTTGCAGATTTTCGTGCTGGATCTTATTGGCCTCGGCAGTTCCCGTCGTTGGTAACAGAAGCGCATTTCACCGGAAGTCTTAGGCACACAGCTGCCTAGCATGCAAACACCACGATTGTTTTTTTTTCCCTTTAATTTTGAAATTGTAGCAGCCTCAAAGTATTATCTAGCAATTTTCTGCGGAACTCCTTCTAATCAAGATTAAACTGTTACTTTTATCATTGCTGTTACTGAAATTGTTCTAACTTTCGTTATTACCACTATATACTCATATAATCATTACCATTATCATTCCAGCCTATTTCTTTAGTATAATGATTAATATCCCAATTGTGAGCTAAGTTTCATTCAGAAACGCAAGTACGGGGGACCTGCTTGACGATCTCTGCTGTGCCCCATATAATGTGCCCCATATAAAGTGCCTCATTTAAAGCCAATTTCTGAACTGTTGGTGTACCCTCGTTTTTCCTCACCATTATTATTTTTGTAATCATTATCTTCATCGTAGTTAGTATGGAGTATTAACGATTATTCTTAAGGAAATACTTCCTTGTCTGCTGATTTGTAATTCTCAGCTGGCTTTCCTGATCCACTTCCCTGCGCCCAACAACCGTTCTGAGGATATTTACGACCATTTATGTTCTGAGGATATTTACTAGCATTTTGTGCTCTAATTATGTAAGGAACCCTACAAAGCCCATACCAAAAAATGTGCCAGTCATGACACCAGGCCTGATACCGAAGAGCTCACTACATTTATACCCATAATCCATTTTGACTCCATAGTGAACACTTCTCACTAATATTAACTAATGATATTGATTATCATCAATGGGGCAGTCTTACTGGGAAACTTTTATCTCTCTTGCACGAGACTTACAGATCGATCTTATTCAAACGATTCAAGTATTTTGTAAACGGGAATAAAACTGGGAATAACTCACATTTTGTCATATAATCTTATTACTGGTAATAGAAAAAACTCGGCCTTAAAGCAGCGTATATAAAGACAAGTCGGACAGAGATTTTAACTCATACTGATTTTCACTTGGCCCTTTTTACTATGGATGTGTGAGATTTTTATGAAATTTGTTGCATTAAACCGAATCAGTGGTATTCTTAGAATTTTCGATTTCATTTTCGAGGACATTCAAGTGTTAATCATGAAATCCGCTGAGACCTATATCGTCAATCGCTCGTGGGTTAATGATCAGTTCATGGAGATGATTGAGAGCGTGGGAGCGACCAAAGGCGATTTTATTTGTATTTATAAATACACGTTGTCTTTTTCGTACCTCTTACTAGACGAGAGCCTGGTAAAGGCTAACGGAGAGTATTTGAAATGTTCAGTTGTTTTGTTTTATCTCCAGTCTAATTTCTTCTCATTCTTCCGGTTTGCACTTTAAAAGCCTTTTGAAACTATTTCTGAAGTTCTGATTTCTCCAGCAGTAGATCATGGGATTCCAACATGCATTTAAACTGGCTACTGCATACACTGGGTACATTTGTTTCGGTCCAATCGATGTTGATGTTAGGAAGTTGAGGTACAGGACAACTACCAACGGAATGAAACTGACGAGACATGTCCCCACAACGATGGCCACTGTATAAGCAGCTTTCATCTCGTGTATTCTCGTCGCCAGGTTTCTATGGTTCATGTCATTGATTTGTTGTCGCTGTTTGCTGGCGATTCTGACTACGTAACCGTATGATGCAATGATAATCACGATGGGTACGACTAACATTGTTACCATCAGAAAAAACAGGTACGGCGTAACAAAGTGCTCGGTGCGCGCGTGAGGGTGATGGAAGCACGATGTCAAGCCTTTGTGGTAATCTTTAAACGCTCCTTTACCAGCCGCCCTAAATGCCTCGGGAAGTACATTTAAAGCACAAATTCCCCAAAGCCAAGCCAGCGTGGAAGCAATTATTGTTCGGCGGTTAGTAACAATTGTGTGATATGTCATAGCGAACTTAACAGCGATGAAACGTTCAACGCTGATTAAAGTCAAGTGTAGAATGACGATGCCGATAAGAGTAAGGTTGATTATCGATGCCGGAACGCACAGTTGGTGGGGTAGTACTTTCTTACCGACTAAAAAGGTAGCAATGTGTAATATGAAGGGCACTAACATTGAAATGCCAGCCACTGACAAACTCACCAATATAATATTAGAAGCATTTCGCAAACTTGAAAATTTATGAAACGCCCTAATCACCATCGTATTGCCACAGATTGTGACAATTGTGATAATAACGTATACCGCAACAACCAAGGCTTTCATCTCAGTCGGTAGACCTTTCTCGTTTTCCGGCGGTGGAGGCGGGTTTTGCATGGTCTTGGGGAAAATGCTATTGCGCGAAATAAACTTCTTCCTTGAGCCGAGTAAGGAGATCAAATTAGAAATAGGTGTTATCATGTGCCAGCCTCAGTCTGCAGGATTGACACCTTTTGATGCAGATGGTGAGAACCATCTTAGAGGGTCATCATTCTGCTGTCCTTGGTTAACATTCCTAGATTGGGCTATTAGAAGATAAAATATCAGTCGTCATGCTCCTTTACGACGATCTTTAGGCAGCAAGTTTTAATTTAACGTATAGATAGAGAAACAATTTCACATGAAACATGGCTATGACGTGGGAATTGAATGACGTGAATACAGTATTTACATTTCAAAACAAAAAATTTAATGATGCAAATTATCTACGTTAATTGTGAAAATCATGCACGGGTACGACTGCATGGAGTCGACCTGAAGGGTTCCTTTTCCTTTCTCTTCACTTCGAGAAGAAGAGGTAAAGAAAAGTGTTATCCTTAATATGTCAGGCCAATGACTTTTCTAATCGAAGCGTTATTAGCAGTCACTGTGATGAATTACCATTCAAATTCGCGTCATCGGTAACATTTACTTTTCACCTCGTGAAAGCATTTCAGTTTTTGGTTCCAAAGGTTGCAAAAATATAATTTTCCTCTCGTTATTTTCATAACTCTTATAATTCACAAAAATAAAATTTTTGCACGCTGATCGAAGAGAATCAGTTGCAGCCGCTACGAAGAGCCCAATGATTAGCAGCCTTCCAAAGGAAAGTTTGTCGACTCCATGAAGATTCGTCCTATTTCATACATAAATTTTTGCCCACAAACAAAACAAAAAGAAAAATTATAAAACTGACCAGGGAAAATAGCTCCTTGTTTTTCTTGGTAGCGGAAGACCTGTCTACTCGAATTAAAATTTTAAAAATTAAGTTGAAACAGCTGCTTTCCAAATTTACACGTAAGAAAAGCAATAAATTCTCAGTGTGGAAAATATTGTTTTTTTTCTAAATTTGCGACAAAGTTCCAATTGATAGCGAACACTTCATATTCGACTGCAATAGGAATATTAAAGATAAGCTGAGCAGCTCTTTGATGGCCAATCTCTAAAAAAATGTCTAACACTCAGAGATAACCCATTAGAGAAAAATTCGTAGCTTATAACGCACTGGTGGTGTGTGACTCAGTAAGCTATAAGTGAACCACAATTACCTGCTTTTAACATGTAGAATAAATATTTTCATTTACAATTGGCCCAGCTGAAATAATCGAAACTGTTATTATTAAACTGTGCTCTGCATTGTCGATTTTCGAATTTTCAAGGTAATGTAGTTGTCATTGGCAACCAGATATTCCTCCCCCATCCTTCCCCCTGTGGCAAGGCGTTCATCTTTAGACGGATAATTTACTGCAAATTCTCACTGGATTTGAACAGACCACTTCCAAACTCACTAAAGATCAAATTTCAAAACTTTCAAACTCATCTCGAATTTAGATATGTTTTTGGGGCCTTGTTTCTTTGGGGAGGAAATGCAATTGTTAGAAGCGGCGAAAAAGATTGGGTTAAAGAACTCACTTCTCTAAAATGGCTGTGCATTCATTTGATAGAAAATTATTCTTTATTCAGTGTTTACACTTATTGGCGTTATTTGGTGGTCAAACTGCATGCAGGTCATTAAATGGACCGATAGTTTAATAGAATACTATAAAAACACATAAAGTTTTCATCCGTGTCCTGTAAAGAGGGTTTCAGTGTGGTTTAACCGTTGGCTGTACTGAACAGCCAAAAAATTTAGCCGTAAGCCATAAAGATTGGCAAGTTTTAAACGCTAGTCGCAAAAAATTTGATCGTTTAAAGAATTCTGATGACAGCAGGGGGAAGATATACTCTGTCAGCCGTAAATTGGCCAAAATTCTAACCGTTGGCCGTGAAAGCCAACACCACATTGAGACCCTCTGTAAATTGCCTAAAGTACTGTCACGACCACATAAGCTCCGCTCTTATTGTTGTTGTTGAAAGTTGATTCGTAACACGATTTTAGTTCAGTTTTATCTTGAAACAGATAGAGGTGTACTAAACGTCTACAGTAAAGAGGAACTCTTAACGTAAGCAGGTGGTGATCTCAAATTGGACAGAACTCTAAAAACATGCAAATGACTGCCTCCGTTGATATCGCTTTTTAGCCTCCTTTGTTAACATGTTTTTCTTTTTTTATATTTTGATGCAGGCTTAGATATCGCTTTCAGTTGGAAAGTTAACAAAGAATTAATAAACCCTTTGAGGGCAGCCTTTCGTCGAAATAACGAATGATTTTTGCGGACGTGCTTCGCTATAGCCGAACGAGCAGATGTGTTTATCCAGTCACTTTCATTAATGGATAATACATTTTATATGATGATTTAAAACTCACGAAAACATTAAAAAAGACTGTCACTTTCGTGTTTGAATCCATGCAAACATTTAAATAACTGTCAACTGACCAGCTTATCATATAATTCACTATAACAATCACAACCTTTTTTCATTGATCTTCTTTATATCGAATGCTGGTTGAAATTGGAAATTACTAGTTTGTGGCCCGGACGAACAGTTTAATACTGGTCATCTGTCCTGCACCACCTCACCTGCTCCGTTTTAAACTCCAAACTAATCAAAGGACCTCAAATCCTAAAAGACATCAGTTTACATTTTAATTTCTTCTTAACACCTTTGGTTGAAAATTAGTAAAAGTCGGTTGTTTACGCCACAAATGAACCGTTCATGAAGTGCCATAATATGCCGATAGAGGTTGGGTCTTAATGATGTCAGGAGGCATGTAAAATTTGCTCATCAATTGGCGGCTGAATGGCTTCGGTCAGATAAATACTCAACATCGACAAACCTTGTGTGGAAGTTAAGAAAGCCATTCTTTGAACCTCTTTTTTGTTAAAAGTCGAGGACATTTACCACTGAGTAATTGAACTTTCTCTTCCGCTGAAAAAAAACGCGGATTCGGGCAGTTTTTTTCTCTTATTTTCAAAGTTCATAGCTGTCTCTCTTGTAATGCTTTGAAAAGTTAGGAAAGCTCGACCCCATAGCCTCGTTTTAATCCTACTCTCATCGAGATACCGCTGGATTACCGGAATGGCGTGTACATCTCCGATAAGAGCTATTTCGTTTTTCCGCTGTAAAGGCAAAAAAGGTTACTCATGAGGGCACTCCATTCAATAACATGTTAGGCAAAGTTTATTAAGTGAGCCTCATACATTTTTAAAACACAGCAACCAACACAATCAATTGTACAGAAAATATATTAAGTCGAAGAAAATCGTTTCACAATGTCAGTATTAATTTTATAAATCGATTGCCAATGCAGTTTGCGCATCACACCTTGCCAATTTGCATAAAAGAGAATTAAACGTACATTGGATTTTTTATTCCTCATGATTTAACTGGTACGCCAACGGGAACATGATTTAGTTAGACGCGAGCGATCCTCCAAGCACATATTACTAATTACAAAAAGTGAATTCTACTGGTTCACCAAGAGGACTATATGAGGGGGGCATTGAGGCCTATTAGAAACCGCAGAACCGCAAAAAAATTCGATCAAAACCGAGAACCGCAGGTAAAATCGTCTAAACCGATAAATTTGCGCATCTCAGTTGTCAAAATCCTAATCGATCTGATCATGACTGTGGTTACAAGTGGAGCAACATAGGTTTCGCGGCTATTCGAGATCAGCAGAGGCGTATAACTGCTGTTCAAATCGAAGAGAAACCGGAACCCGAATATGAAAAACCTGTAACGCACATTGGATACCAAATCTGAATACCCGTCAAAATTTTGACGAAAACCGAAAACCAAATGTTGAAAACGGAAAATCCGCAAAACGCAATGTACAATAAAACCGAAAAACCGAGGTTTTTTAGCACAAAAACCGAAAAACCGATCTAAGAGATAGCCAAAACCGTTAAACCGCAAACCCCATTGGCCCTCCAACATTGATTATGAAATATAAAATAAGAGTTTTAAAAGCTATTTGAACGTAATCCAATTGCACTTTACAAGTTCTTATCTATAAAGACTTTGTTATACTTAAACACGTAAAAAATTTTTTATCGCCTTTCACGACGTTACAAGTTGTAATATGATACATTCCGGTTCCCTGACAACAGCAAAGTTTGTTCTGAGTTCTCGCATGAACTCTTATTAATGTGCTGTACAAAGAAAATCTGTCAAAAATAAGTATGCAAACGTAAAAATAGTCCTTGGACCGAATAAAACCAGGAGATGTCTGTTCCAAAGGTTTATCCTTGCCTTTCAGCAAAGTACACGGAAAAATGAATAAAAAAATTGCTACGCACATCTCAGTATTGTAAGGAAAGCCCTTCTAAATTTTGAATTCCTCCAACCGTAAATAATTGGGTTGAGGCAAGCGTTAAATCCGAGTGCAAAGACAAAAACAAGGTGCTTCGTAACTCTTCGCCCGTGGGTTTTGTGAAATGACCCACCAAAGAAACGAAGATTTGTTACGACTAACAACGGGATAAAACTGATGAGGCACCCTCCCACCACAATGGCCACGGTACGAGCGCCTTTCATTTCTTCCCATGTGGTGGCTGCTCCTTGAATGTTTACTTGATCTTCGATCTCCCGCCTGTGCTTACGAGAAATAAGGTAGATGTATCCGTACGAGCATAGAATGATCAGTATTGGTATGACAAGAACCGAAATCACCCAGAAGATGACATATCCCAAGGCTGCAGGAGGCATTGTTTTCCGCTTTTCTCGAGAGCATGCGGAACATGGATGCAGAGCATGGTAAAGCTCTTTGAAAATCTTGCCGTCTAATGCGGAGTGTGGTAATACAACTGCAACAGCAATAGCCCAGAGCCAGACGACGAGGGAGGTGAGCATTGTGCGGCGGGTAGTTACAATGCTTTGATATCTCAATGCAAACTTCACGGCGATGAAGCGTTCGACGCTGATAAAAGCGAGATGCACGGTAATCACTGAAATGAGTAGAATGGTTGAAACTCCACTAAATGTACACATGAGACTACGAGCATCAGAATCAGGATTTGTTCCTTTTGGTTTGTGAGCCAAAAGGGAGATGTCCAAAGCAAAAACAACCACTGTTAAACTGTCAGCTGCACACAAACTCATCAGAATGCTGTTGGACGCACTTCTCAGACTTGAAAATTTGTGAAAAGCCATAAACAGGAGCGAGTTTCCGAAAGTGATAGCGATTATTAAGATCACAAGGATGACAATAAATATTTTTGGGATGATAATGTCCGGTGGCTCCTCGCCTGGTGCATTCGGCTTACAGTTGGTTGAATTCATCCTCAATTGGTCGATCCTTATGTCTATTCTAATTTCTCAACTCCGGAGAAGCTCTTCAGTTGATGTCAATTTTGTTTGAATACCGGCTCTTTATAAACCGGACCGATCGCTTGTGATCTTGGAAAAAGAGAGTCTATAAATTAATAGCACCAGCCAGCGTTCGAGAATAATCAACTAAAAAACAGCTGAATGACATCTTTATATTTTCGTTCAAATTATTCCTAAAAGCCAATTTGAGTTGAGCAATATGTCAACAGACGTATGCAAATTAGGGGAATATCAATTCGAGCTCATATGATTAAAAACGTTGTGTCGCTTCGACATGTTATGTTCAGGCTTTCTCTTGCCGTAACTTCTCTGTGAGAGAATATTGTTGCGGGTAATCACTAATACAAAGTGAAAAAAGAAAAAAAAAAAAAAGAAAATGAGATTGCATAACTTCTCTTTCTTTGTTCGCTATCCTGACCGGCCCGGATTACTTTTGCATCTCTGTTTCTATTTACCTTTCTTGGCGATGAGAGCGAGCGGGTTTTGAAAAAATTAAAAAAAAAAAGCCTGCGTAGATTTTGTTACACCATAGTGAGTGCTCTACTAGGGTGGACCGATGCAAACATAATCGTCAAGTAAATATTTTTTACATAGACAGTAAAGACACCTTAGATTTGGCGAGATTCGATAATTCCCTGCTAAAATTATTATCATAAATGAGGGTAGTTGATTCCATGATAAGGTTTAGTTAGCTATTATCGATAGTTTTGCTCGGCCAGGCAGTGTCACTTCACTGAGACTATAAAGTGGACCTATACCTCCGTTGGACTTGCGCCGGCAAAAGGAAAGGAAACTTTAAGACTGAAATATGAATGAAGAACCTGTCCAGTCAGACTCAAAGATAATTTAGAGGTTTATATTTTACATGCTACGATTCAAAACCGGTGCCATGGCCGGCCCATATAGATTGCGCTTGGTAATCCTTTTTTCTGGGATGATTATCACTACAAATGGTCATGCTTTGTTCTAAACTAGCAGTTATCAAATGTTTGAAGTACAAGACGATATAAAGGGTAGCAGGAGAACGAACAAAGTGTTTGTAGAATGGGAGCAGCGCTGAACCTCGTTCCCAGGATCTCTCATCTTCCCGCCCCCTGGAGTGAGAGAAGAGAGACCCTGGTTTAGGCTGGTCACGTGTTTATAGAGCAATAAAATTTCATAGTGACGAGTCGTTTGTTTGCACGTTATTTGCCTCATTTCCTTTGTCATCTTCAAATCGACACTATCGTTGTTCAGGTCGTTATGTTTCATAGCAGCTTTCAAGTCGCTATATCTCGGAGTGGTTATTGTTACCTTAGTTTAAAACCTAAACAAGTCAAGTGTTTAGAGGTGATATATTCGGGCAGAGATGAGCTGCAGAGATGTTTTAGCCGTTTTACCGACGGGATACGGGAACTCTTTGATGTTTCATCTTCCTTCTTCACTCTTCGAGAAGTTAAGCAGTCAACAACCTGTACCTTCCTTGCCATTTCGTCCTGTTGTTATTGTTGTTTCGCCTTTGAACGCCTTTAGTAAAGATCAAATAAGATGGAGCACCGACAGTCGTTGGTTTATTTGTGATGAAATGAACACTGGCACGTCAAATTATGTAAACAAAGGAAAGCAAGCGAGCAAGCACGCGTTATCGCGTGCGCATATTTTTCCTCTTCTGAAGGAAATAGGTAATAGAAAAATAGAGATCGGTTAAACGAGCACAAAAAAAAAATTATAAAATAAACGGAAGTAAAAATTTTCCTGGTTTTGGAATTCGTCTTCCCAAGTATCTCCGACAGCGGCTGGGTCAATCAAAGCATAGTAAGTATGATCAAAGTCCCCTCTATTAACTATGATCAAAGGTAGCTCATCCTGAAAGAAATTTGTCACCTTTCGTAAAAACACTCCCAACTCAGAAGCGGCAAAGAGGTATCTGGAGACGTAACTAAATACAAATCTGGCAAAAAACTATCGAACACACAATTTTTTACCTCTTTTCTCGGCAAAGACTGCATTTGTGTTGGTACTGTAACGAGACTTAGAAAGCAACGGCTTCTACTCTCAGATTCCCTTGCACTCTTAGCCATGGTGCGTGGTACAGATGGTGATATTTCTGTACATTGCTTCACTGTTTGGAAAACTCTGACTTTCACTGGTCACTGTTTTGGGCGTGTGCTTAACACATATTCCCAGTTAACATCAATCGGTTCGAAGCGCTTCACGCGTAGACTGTTTTAATTGCCGACAAGCTACGCTCGCTAGTGGAGACTGAGATTCCCACTTATCTGCCCCTCCGTTCAAACTGCTAATTTGTTATCTGCTAATATCTAGAAGACATGTGACCAGCTTAGAGCAGGGTCTCTCTTCTCTCACTCTAAGGGGTAGAAAATGTGAGAAACCCTGGCAACGAGGTTGAGCAGTGTTATTTTTGCGCTGATTTAAAGAGTAGACAAGCTCAGTGAACTTTTTAAATTAAAAAAATTTATATCAGGCTCTAAAAGTTACTAGTGCTGGGTACCCGGCCCTTGTGGTAGCTATCCGTGTGGTAAGTACCATTTTAGTAGCTACCCTTTTGGTAGGTATTCTAGTTGTAGCTAACCTTTTGGATTCAAATCGTGAAGTTTTTTCAATTACAGATTCCCTTTTGCCCGAGAAGTCAAGATTTGTTGCAATAACATTCTAATTAAATTTTTATTGTACTGTCGTCTAAGAACCTTCCCGTGCATTTCAGGTGATGGTCTTCACTTTCGAAGAACTTTGGTTTTTTTAAGTTAAATAAAAATTAAATATCCCTTTTACAGCATTCTAAAGTTTAAGGTAATGCAGCTCAGACTTTTAATAGATGACTTAAAATTTGGTAAGTGAAAATTCAATTTAAGTCGGGAAGGCAAACAAATTTGGCTACTACACTATGTTATTCATTTTAATAACAAAGACTTGTTCTTGAATTTCAGTGAAAAGCAATTACTGCTTAAGTTAAGTTGGAACAGAGACAACTGAGCTATCTCTCATGCAATTGGTTATATCATTTTAAAGAAGAGCTTGAAGACAGCAGGAACTACAATTTTAAAGAATTTAACGACCAATGTAAGCGAACTACAACAATGTGCCGTGTTATAGAACATGCAACTCACGAGCATTAGTCACTAATATTCGTGAGTTCCATGTTTTATAACACGGCATAACCTACGAAGTGAATGTTTTTATGACTTTTCAGTCTTACGGCGATAAAAGAAATCGAAAAACTCCTTTCTTAGAGCCCTGTTTGTAGCGCCGTAGATAAAAGGATTTATTGCTGAACTGAGACAAAGAAAATAAGTAAAAACCAATTCTCCTTGACGAGGGAAGCGTGGATTAGTCATATTAAAACTTAGCTGGTCACAGATGACCACTGGGATCCAACATGTGACATACCCGAGTAAAACAGCAAAAACTGTTTTTGTGATTTTTACTTCTTTAATTTTTGAGGTGATTGAGCGTGATCGCGCATGACTGTTGTCTTGGCGGGAAGAGATGGCAACTTGAAACATATTACTTCTTATCACTTTGAATACTCGGTAATAACTTAAGGAAATTACGATCATAGGGATCGCGACATTGATAACCAAAAACAATGTTCCAATCATCTGGGCCGTGCTTTGTTGAATGAAAGTCGTGAAGCACATTGCTCTTCTAGGGTCGAGTGTTATTATTGCAAATCCCGTGGGATAAGGAATAGATGTCAGAATTAGGATAATCGTTCCTTTCACAGAAATCATTATCTTAGTTGCTCTTCGGCTGAAAATTTTGCCATACAGGTCTTGATGAGCGACACAGATAAAACGATTGATGGCAGTTAAAGCCATTATGTGTAATGAAAATCCTGTCAAGGCGGGAGCAATGATCCCTTGAAACTGACAAGGAAAGTTTTTAACATCTACTGGGTTTACCTCTACGATCCATTTTCCTTTGATAAGGACAATAGTTGCTACTGTGAGCGGAAGACAAGCCGTTAGCATATCTGCCGCTGCTAGCGTAAGAATCAGTAGATTTGTGGCGGTGCGAAGGGTAGGATTCCGGGTCATAGTCAGACACACGATAAAGTTTCCTCCAAATGCGATCGTGGTGATTAGTAACATGATCCCTGACTCAACAGCCACAAGATACTTTGGTCTGGATGAGAGTTCCTTGAAATATTTGGGTGCCAACCACCAATATGTGTCGTATAGGATGTCCGAGTTTACTGAGTAATTATCAGCTCTTTTCATGTTCATCAGGCTTTTTTCGACTGATAAAGTCTTTTTCTTAAATTTACGAATCTTGTACTTCGGACACAAAAAATACCGCAAACCATCTAGTCGAAGTCGAGATAAATCTGCCTTTTACCCAGTAATAAGATGCGATTGAACAAGTTTTAATTAAATTAAGAAGCTTGACACATGAATGGCAAGCTGTTTATTTCTTTCACTTCCACTGAACCATCTGTCTCTGAAAAAGGTCAGTTTGCTTACCTTTAATTATCTTTCTTTTCGCATCTTTGTTTTATAATTGCTCACCGCAATATTCTTAAGTCAAATTATAAGTTTTTATTCGAGATACTCATACCCTAGAAAAATCTGTTATATTTAAAATTACAAATATCCATACCAACTTTTTTAAAGGTGCATGGAGTTTATTTTTTTCCTCGTGATGTGATAAATATTATCTCTCGCCGATAGAATAAAACTCTCATGTCTCCTCAGCCCTCTTGCAGAGCGTTAAAGAATAAAGAGGCAAACTGCATGAGAGATAAATGAATAAAGGCTGAAAGTTTCCAAAGAAACTGTGGTGTTGCGTCGGTGGGGGTAACAAGATAATTGGTTATATCACCTAAGTTGAAATTGTAAATTGGCCACCGTAACGAATAAAAAAACTGGCGTTTCGAGCGTTAGCCCTTCGTCATATAGATAGTCTCCATTTTATTTTTTCTCGAAGATTTTTGCTCCAACAAGCTACTCTAAAATTCGAGATGAAATAAAGTTTATGTTATGTTATGTTATATTCGTCAGAGCGAATGGAGGAATCGTGGGTTGTATGTGCTTTTATATGCAGAAAGGGGAGCTACACCATTGGTGGGAACATAGCAACGAAAAAAACACGAATAAATTAGTGGAATGAAAAGCGTTCGTTGATACCTGTGGGATTAAGAGTGCCGATTTGAAAGATTCACTTTTGTTCAAGAGTTTTGCGGCTTTCCGTGTTAGCTAAATGTAAGGAAAGACCGCAGACTGCCATATGTTGTTTAGAATGATCAGGTAAATTAAAGTGTCTAGCGACTGGTTTAGATGCGTCCTTTTCATTCCTTTCCACGTCACGAAGGTGTTCTCGGAATCGGTCACCTAGTCGTCTTCCTGTTTTTCCGATGTATAACTTTTTGCAATAAGTGCAAGTTATGCAATAGATAACATTGGCGGTGGTGCACTTGAAGTGATCGGTGATCTTAATGGATCGCTTCGGTGCCGATAATTTCTGAGCGTTGTGAATGAACGGACAAGTTTTGCATCGTGCGCGAGCGCATTTAAAAGTGTCGGGTTGGTCATTACTTTGGAATGAAATGCTGACCAAAAAATTTCCTATGTTTTTGCGCGTTTGAATGAACTAAGTGGAGGTTGCGAAAAGATATTGCCAGTCTCTGGATCGTTTTGAAGTAATTTGAAGTTTTTAAGAATAATGGATTTAACTGAGTGGTTGTGAGGGTGAAACGCGAGAGTGAATGGAATGCGGTCGGAAGTTTCATTCTGTGACGTCTGTAGTGCTGACTGTCGATCAATAAGTTGGGCGCGGTGGTGACCCGCTTGAGCAACAGAAACAGGGTAACCACGGTTTTCGAAAACCTGGCCCATTGACTCTGATTTGTGGGAAAATCAGAGTCATCACTATATAAACGACGAAGTCTTAGAAAAGGAGAAAAGGGGATGGAATTCTTAACATGAGATGGATGCGAAGATGAATACAACAAGTAACTATGTGAGTCTGCGGGTTTGTAATACACACTAGTGGATAAACCGTTGCCTTCAATTGAAACTTTGATATCTAAAAAGGATAAAGAATTGTCGGAAATTTCCCGACACCAGAGGATGACATATCCCAAGGCTGCAGAAGGCATTGGTTTCCGCTTTTCTCGTGAGCATGGGGAACATGGATGCAGAGAATGGTAAAGCTCTTTGAAAATCTTGCCGTCTAATGCGGAGTGTGGTAATACAACCGCAACAGCAATAGCCCAGAGCCAGACAACGAGGGAGGTGACCATTGTGTGGCGGGTAGTTACAATGCTTTGATATCTCAAGGCAAACTTCACGGCGATGAAGCGTTCGACACTTCACGGCGATGAAGCGTTCGACGCTGATAACAGCGAGATGCACGTTAATCACTGAAATTAGTAGAATGGTTGAAACTCCACTAAATGTACACATGAGACTACGAGCATCACAATCAGGATTTGTTCCTTTTGGTTTATGAGCCAAAAGGGAGATGTCCAAGGCAAAAATAACCACTGTTAAGGTGTCGGCTGCACAAAAACTCATCAGAATGCTGTTGGACGCAATTCTCAGACTTGAAAATTTGTGAAAAGCCATGAACAGAAGCGAGTTGCCGAAAGTGATAGCGATTATTAAGATCACAAGGATGACAATAACTATTTTTTTGATGATGATGTCCGGTGGCTCCTCGTCTGATGCACTCGGCTTACAGTTGGTCCAACTCATCCTCAATTGGTCGATTCTTATGTCTATTCTAATTTCTCAACTCCGGAGAAGCTCTTCAGTTGATGTCAATTTCGTTTGAATACCGCCTCTTTTTAAACCGGACCGATCGCATGTGATCTTGGAAAAAGAGAGTCTATTTAACAATTATTCCACGAGCGCGTGTTGGATATGAGATGATAGATAGCTAACGAGGCGCGTAGCGCCGAGTTGGCTTCAGTCATCTCATATCCAACAAGCGCGAGTGGAATAATTGTTTTATTAAAAACGTTAAATTAAATTATTAAGTTTTATTAAATTTTTAGCTCCCTTTTAATTTTAGCTGACACTTACGCTTACCATATTTGTAGATCATGGTATATTGGCTGATATACCATAATGACTAAGCCAATAAAAAGTCTTGAATTGCATTATCCAATGAGCTAGTTTTTAATAAAGATTAATAGCCCTAGCCGGCGTTCGAGAATAATCAACTAAAAAACAGCTGAATGACATCTTTATTTTTACGTTAAAATTATTCCTAAAAGCCAATTTGAGTTGAGCAATATGTCAACAGACGTATGCAAATTAGGGGAATATCAATTCGAGCTCATATTATTAAAAACATTGTGTCGCTTCGGAAAAAGTTTATGTTCAGGCTTTCTCTAGCCATAATTTCTCTGTGGGAGAATATTGTTGTGGGTAATCACTGATACAAAGTAAAAAAAAAAAAGAAAAAGAAAATGAGATTGCATAATTTCTCTTTCTTTGTTCGCTAACCTGTTCGCTAACCTTTGTTCGCTAACCTTTGTTCGCTAACCTTTGTTCGCTAACCTTTGTTCGCTAACCTTTGTTCGCTAACCTTTGTTCGCTAACCTTTGTTCGCTAACCTTTGTTCGCTAACCTTTGTTCGCTAACCTTTGTTCGCTAACCTTTGTTCGCTAACCTTTGTTCGCTAACCTTTGTTCGCTAACCTTTGTTCG